TGTGTCGAAAAGACAGGAGTGGGAATAACTGTGGAGAGCTAGCAAGGACACAACAGGCTGATTACCTCTTGCTGTGCTGTAAACATTTTACGACTGTTTGACAAATGTTTTATCTTCTTGGCTACCAGTCATTTAATACTCTTTGCTAGGTATTTCTTAATGTCTTTGGGGCATCACGTTATAAACCACCAGCGATTTTTACAGGTTCTGTCAGAAATAACTTAACAGTTTTGGGGACATTCTGCACATTTCAGCATATTTGTGTGCATATACTGAAGGTAGGAAACAAACCTTGAAATCTCCCTTCCATAAAAGGAGTGAGAATAGGTCTTGTGATGCAGTGGAAACCACCCCACCTCTGAGATCGAGTCCCTCTGCAGGATTTGATGAACAAGGTAAGTGTGTTCATAATGAAGCCAATCAGGTTGAATATTGGCTTGTAAATTCTCCTAACGCATCCCAATGGCAGACAGTAAAAGCATGAGAGATTCCTTGTCAGCCCTGGGACGGAAAGAAATTGGAACCTCTACCATTACTATCCTTAACTCTAGACTACGACAAGCTTGTGAAAATATACACTACCACAACCTGAATGAGAGCTTTTGCTGATGGTTCTGCTGTTGCCATTCAAACCTTCTCTTGTTTCTTGTTTCTGCACTTGCTTCTTTGCCACTCCCTTTGGCTTTGCACATCTTTTTCTGTCATTTAATCTCTCCTGCTGTCCATTCTATGACAGACCTTCCCTTTCGTTCTTTGCCCACTCCTCCTTTTCCCTGCCTCCGTACTTGCTTTGAATCCGTTACATCTCTTAACTGTGCCCAGTTTTGATGAAGTATTAACTCTGTTGTGTTCTGCCTTCTTGCTTGACATGCATCCTGATGCCTAATTTTAAAAAAATGTAAATTTCACTATTTCCCATCGCTTCTCATCGATGCTACACTCCCTATTCAAAGTACACCGGAATTTCCACAAATGGGCAGGATGACCATCCACATTGCCACCTTCACTGACAAACATGAGTGAAGAGCCTAGAAAGGAAGACCCCCAAGGGTAGAAGTGAAGAAAAGGTAAGTGAGGAGATTACAGTTAGTGATGTCAAGCCTGGGTCTCAAAGAGCTGTAGATTGTTGAAGGATCGTGGAGGCCACCAGTCCTGACAGCCTGGAAAGAATGAGTTGGAATGACATTGTGACATACAAAAAGAAATATATTGCTCATAGTCCTTCCTGTCCCGTCCATCCAAATTCCGACTGCCATAACGTGTAGCCCAGCAACATGGGCTCCTTCGTAGGTCCCTCCCAAACTCACAACCTCTACAATCTACAAGCATAGGACAGCAGATACATGGGAACATCACCACCTACAGGTTCCCTTCCAAGCTACTCACCATCCTGACTTGGAAACATACCGCCACTCCTTCACCTGGAATCCTGGAACTCCCTCCCTAACAGCACTGTAGGTCTACCTACAGGAAATGGACTTCAGCGGTTCAAGAAGGCAGCTCACCACCACCTTCTCAAGGGTAATTAAGAATGGATAATTAACGCTGACCTTGCCAATGATGCCCACATCCAGTGGATAAACAGAAAAAGCACATTTTCAAGAAGGTTTCAAAGTGTACTTCAGTGTGACTACAAAGAGGAACGTACCTTTCAGTATTAGATGCAGGGCTGCTTGTGCATTCAGGGGGCGAAGGTTCAGTTACATTCAATACAGATGTACAGATTACCGTGCCTTCTCGATGGTGTTGTCGCTGAATCTCAGCAATCTCAATTTCCCCAGAACTCTGGGACACAGAAGTTTCTTTCCCACGTGATCCTGGATCAGGACCGAGTTGTACTTCTGAGAGAGGTGTGAGAACAACATGTATTTAGTGCTTTACTTTTGTTACATCTCTGGTTCAGGTAAATGTTTAGCACTTTCTGCTGAACACATTTACAGCCACTAATGATTTGTAATAACAGAAGCACCATTTTTTTCCATCCTAATAAATTGTCTGACATGAGCGAATGAATTTATTATTTATTATTTCTTCTTTATTTTCTCTCCTGTCTTGGAGATGGTAGTTTTTTTCTTGGGTGATAGCCCTGAAGGGTTCACTTCCATAATCATTTCTTAAACACCAGTTGTATATTTTGAGTCAGTATTAAAATAGCCGCCAGAGGAATGTCATATGACTGCATTAAATTAATAGCACCAAAATCGTTCTTATTCAGGCGTCACAATTTAGCTCACAGTAACTGACCACAACTCAAAAACAGATTAAGGCCAAAATTTTACCCTCAATGGGACTGGGTTGGCAGACAGGGATGGAGTGTGAAATCTGGCGACAAGGCATGGCAAGGGGAGATACATGCTCATCTCCTTCCTCCCACTGGAATCCTGCCAGCAGCAGAGTAGGTGTCAGGTGATCTTCTCCTTTAGGCCAATTAAGATCCTTATGTGGGGTGCCCACACCCAGCAGCAAGGTTACCAAGGATACCCTGCAGGCCTGTGAGGTAGTGGGTGTTCCACATGTTCTGGTACACCCTGCTGAACAAACAGTTCCCCAGTAGAAAGGACCATACCTGGTTGAACATCGTCCACGATTCTACCAGAGAGTTCCAATTGCTACCAGCTCACCAGCCCTCCCCTTATCAGGGCCCGGCTGACCAGTTCTGGCAAAGAGATAGTGTCCACAGATAGTAAGAACTGCCCATGCTGGAGTCAGAGATAACACAGTGTGGAGCTGGAGGAACACAGCAGGCCAGGCAGCATCAGAGGAACAAGAATGTCCAGATGTGTTCCTCAGTGGGGCTGGGTGAAGTCCCAGCAGTGGCTGCCATTCCTAGGGGCACAGCGGGGACTAAAGTGCTGGTGTAGCTATCTGATTAACTGGCATTTGTGGGAGGCCATGCAGGAGCAGAAGCCAGGACTTCAGGCAACCAATTGTCTGTATAATCTGGCTGTGGCTCCCCAGGCCAACAGAAAGGACCTCATGTCCTACTTTTCAGTTAGTGGGCAGGGCCACTGCTTCTGCATAAAATTCTGTGGCAGGGTCACGGCCCTTGATCAGCAACAATCCTGATGCTTTGATGAAAGTACTAATAACCACTAGTAAATTGTTTGTGCCATTGCCCATGGTCAGTTGACCAGTTTTGTTTAAATTGGATACCAGATGATGCAGAGGTGCCTATATTGGACTGGGGTGGACAAAGTCAGAAGTCACAGAACACCATGACGAAGAAGCAGCGCTCCGAAAGCTTGTGATTTCAAATAACCCTGTTGGACTATAACCTGGTGTCGTGTGACTTCTGACTTTGGATACCAGATGATAATGGAGTTGACTAACACTGCATAAACATGCTACATGGTATCACCTAATAGCCAGAACCTAAGCCTACACCATGACATTTGACTGAGCAAAAGTAAATGGGGGTCTGTTGACACAGCAAGTAACAATACTGGAAATCGTTGCAAAAATATGATCAAAAACACTGATGAAGCAGCAGCAAGGTCAAGGAACAGTAACTGTATCTGATATTTAATGATAGTGATGTCATTTGTTAAAGCTGACTAGACTTGGGTAAAGTATAGCAATACAATCTTTAAATAAACTTGGGCTTAAATGCAGTAATTTCTTCTGACATTTTTATTTGTTAAACATAATGAGTGAGACCAAAAGAATGAGAAAATTGTTTATTAATTTGTAGCACTGGTGAAACCTTGTGCTTTTTGACATTGCATTGTTAGGTCAGTGGAGCTGCTAACATCATTCCTAAACAGGGAGTTAAATTGTCCTCAGAGAATTAGAGGGTGTCATGAATACAGAAAGATCTTACACACACACACACAGACACACACACAGACACACACACACACCCTGAACGCCTGCTGGTCTGAAAGTAACATTCTAGCACAGAAAGGTGACTGCAGCTAAAAGGCAAAAATGAAATTGGCACCAATGTGGTTGGGAGCCAAGTGACCAAAATATTAAGAATCTAATTTATCAGGAAAGATTCTGGAGGGCTGGCTTTCTTTGGAAAAGGAAGACCAAGAGATGCAGCATTGGAAAGAGAGTGAAAGAAGTTAATTGGAAAAATTGTTGGCTTTGGCAAAGCATTTAAATACCAGGGAACACCAATTAAAAATAAGAATATTTGAAACTAATTTTCCACCCACTCCTCATCAATTTTTGGAAAATTGAGCCCATGAAGGGTATTCAACGGCAAATTATATTTTTAATTTACCAAGGGTAGTGATTGTAGAATAAGTCACCTGCAAAGGTTACTGAAGTGCAGCAGAAATAGATTTAAAAAGCAACTCAGCGTGTTTCTGGCGAGGCAAGGGATTGAAGAATATATTGAGAAGAACAGCAGCTGAAGTGAGGTTAACAAAAACAAACAGACTGTCTTATGAGGAAAGGTTGCGTAGGTTGGGCCTGGACTCATTGGAGTTTTGAAGAATGAGAGGCAACTTTATTGAAACATACAAAATTCTAAGGGCTTGACAGGGTAGACGTGGAGAGGTTGTTTCCCCTTTTGAGAAAGTCTCGGACCAGACGACATAATCTCAGAATAAGGGGTTGCACATTTAAGGCAGAGGTGAGGAGGAATTTCTTCTCTCAGAGGGTAGTGAATCTGTGGAATTCTTTACTGCAGTGGGCTGTCGACGTTGGGTCATTAAGTATATTTAAGGTTGAGACAGTCAGATTTTTAATCAATAAGGGAATGAAGGTTCATAGAAAAGGCAGGAAAGTGGAACTGAGGATTACCAGATCAGCCATGATCTCACCGAATGGCAGAGCAGACTTGATGGGCCAAATGGCCAACTTCTGTTCTATGTCTTATGGTCTTATTTACAATCAATTTTAAACAAGGGAAAAGAGATGCAATTTACCTCTTATCACTTACCAGAAGAGTGGTGTGGAACAATGGCTTCTCTGCTTTGGTGATTTTCGTTTGCTGTTCTTGCTGTTTGGTCACAGATACTTGGCTTTCCTGATGAAAGGGGAGATAAACTAAGAGCACCTGGCAATGTTGAACCAGAACCCTGTGGGCTTTGAGCAGGAGGCCCCAGCACTGAAGACGACATGAGTGGACTACCTGGGAGGCCTTCATAGTTCCTGTTGGCACAGTGTTGCTCTTGATAATGGTCGTATGGACACCCACAGTGTGAGTGTTGTTGATAATCTGGGCTGTACTTCAATTCCGGATACCTTAGGTAATGTGCAAGCGATTCAGGAGATCCTTCCATACCTCTCTGAAGCTGTCCACAAGAGGAGGCTGGAATCTGTGAGGGATAAGTGTGTGCTATTGGTGCTGGAATTGGCATGTTGGTATGTATGTGGTTATAACTGAATGGGCTGTATCCGTGTCCTCTTGGGTACTGGCTATATGAATGCTCAGACATCAGCACGGGAACTGGTGGGCGTGCCTGACCATTTCTTATCGGGTGGTTTACCAAATGCGGCTTCAAATGCTCATGCTGCCACATGTCTGGGTCCGGAGGTCGAGGGTGCTGGTACAAGGAATCATGATCCAGCTTGAGTGTACTAAATGATGCTGCTGATCTCTCGATCTCTTCCTCTGACATCTTTAAGGAACAGTTCCGACAAGCACATCCATGAGATATAATCTCAGAAGCGTCTTGCTCAAGAAACTGGATGTGCTGACCATCAAGGAGATCTTCCACCTGACGGTAGTCCAGCAGGCGGTTCCTGTTTGTTTTCAGGTCATGATCTCTCTGGGCATCATCTCGATGCCTTACTCGGTGGATAGGACCTTGATGCAATCTCTCTGAGCAAGGATACTGATGGAACACAGATGGGTAAACTTGAAGTATTTCATTGCATGGCCTTTGGTAGTTCATTCTTTCCAACATTGCAGCCTGGTGGTGAATACTATCTATGTTTTTCACATGGTCATAAGAATCATGCGACCTGCCCTCCAGCCCCATGTCATTCAATTGTGGCACACTCCTTTCATACATGGGCCGTCGTTGGTCCAGTGTTAGATCAGGCCTATAATAGACATCATTTCGAATCCCATCGGGACTGTGACTATACCCAGGTATTCTGCGCTCTGGCGAGTGGTGGTTGGCTTTGAAAGGATAAGGATGATTAGCGTGATGAATGTTCCTCGGTAAAGTGGCAAACCGATTCATCTCACAGGCGTCATCATCATCCAGGATGTCCGTCTCCCTGTCATTGGTGACAGGTCGCCCGTTGGCACGGCTCTGCAAAGATGACCCAGGCTGTGCGGTCACATTGTGCGTGTTCTTCACTGCGGCCATGCCAAACCCGCTGAGAAGCTGATCCAACTGCTCCTTTTCTACTTGCGATGGTGCGGACCTCGTACTGATACTCTGCTCTTCCGTCTTTATCGAAGCAGTGGAGTGACCCGAGTCCGTGCTGACAGACAAGGTGTGCCCGCAATGGACTGACACCACACTTAATGGGCTGCCATTGGTAGTGCCAGTGCTGGGACTTCTCTTCTTCACTTTGGCATAGAGACTTCCATCTAGTGGACCTCGTGTATGTAGTACTTCTTGTAAAATGGAAAGTTTTATAGTTAGTGGCAGCATTGCATACAAGTTGCATGTTTCGATAAAATACACATTTGTACTGTTAAATTCTACGGTCTAAACATCCAGGACTTAGATGACTACAGGCAATTGTAATATGTAACAATCACAGACTATATGTTTATATGCTCCATATATAAAATAGTCGAGTCATACAGCACGGAAACAGGCCCTTTGGTCCAACTAGTCCATGCCGAACATAATCCCAAACTAAACTAGTCCCACCTGCCTACACTTGGCCCATATCCATCCAAACTTTTCCTATTCATGTACTTATCTAAATATCTTTTAAATGTTGTAACTGTACCTGCATCCACTATTTCCTCAGGAAGTTCATTCCACACACAAACCACAATCTGTGTAAAAAAATTGCCTCTTACGTCTTTTTTAAATCTACCTCCTCTGCCCTTAAAAATATGCACCCTAGTCTTGAAATTCCCCCAACCTAGGGAAAAGACACCTGCCATTCACCTCATACGATTTTATAAACCTCTATAAGGTCACCCCTCAACCTCCTGTTCTCCAGTGAAATAAATCCCAGCCTATCCAGCCTCTCCTTATAACTCAAACCCTCCATTCCTGGCAACATCCTGGTAAATCTCTTCTGAACCCTCTCCAGCTTAATAATATCCTTCCTATAACAGGGTGACCAGTAAGATGAAACTATATATGTTCGATACAGCATTTATTGCCCATTCCTAATTGCCCAGAGAGCAGTTAAGAGTCAACCACATTGCTGTGGGTCTGGAGTCACGTGTAGGCCAGACCAGGTAAGGATGACAGTTTCCTTCCTTAAAGGACATTATTGATAACCCTTGTTGGATAACCTTATGTGATTGCCTTTGTTGGAAGTACATTATGTGAATATGAGGTAGGCATCGCACTGAGGGTGATCAAATAACTGGCACTCGATTTAAGATTCACACTTAAAAAGTAATTACTTCTAGGAGGCTTTAGGCCTGGGACTACCATTAAACTGTGTCCTAGCATAAATCAGGAGAGAATAGATTAAATACCAATCCAAACCCTAATGATGGGAAAACGCATCAGGCTTTTTGTTACGAAATCTAGGATGAACTCCTAAATTCATCATCTCGCAGGCACTTAATAAGAAAGAAGTTCCTTTAAATTTCTCTACAGATTCCAGTCTAATAAAACAACCAAAACTTTGGGCCTGGCTTTGAAGAAGTCTGGTTGCCATGCAAAGAAATCCACTTTGGTCCACTGGTTCAGATTGAACTCTCCCCACATGTGTTGAAAAGCAAATGTATGGACAGAAAACCTTATCTATCCTGGGTGTATTTTGTTGCCAGACTCCTGCTGCAATGTGTGTACTCTCACTACATGGATGTTACACTTAAGGCTGCTGTTCTTGTCACTACAGATAAGTAGTGAACAGAAAAGTAGTTATATGTAGTTTTTAAATCAGTGGTTTGACTTACAGAGAGTGTTTAGTGTGTGGAATGAACTGCCAGAGGAAGTTTGCAAATGCATGAATTGGAAAGTTTTGAAAGGATATGGGCCAAATGCAAGCAGGTGGGACTAGTTTAGTTTGGGAACATGGTAAGCGAGGAGTATTTGGACTGAAGGGTGTGTTTCCATGCTGTATGACTCTATGACTGCATTTCAAATCAGTGATTGGCTGTAAAACAAGTAGAGATGCCCAGTCACCATGAAGGATTCTTACCTGAATGCAAATCTTTGCTTTCTCAGGTTGCTGGTTTGTGCGCTGGTGAAATCTATCCTGGCAGTAGAATGTGCTCTTCAGAGTGTGGGACAGTGGGAGCTTCACTGTGCAGTAGCTGACACCCAGTGCTCAAAATGGAACCACTTCCATTTTCCAAAGCTGACATTGTTTGCCATGCCAAGCACAGATATAAAAAACACAAGCTCCCTTGCAGTAAAACTGAAATATCCCTTAAAACCACCGAATCAATCTTTTGATCATGACAAATCATCTGTGGGAATTGTAATGGAACACTCCTTCAAAACAATGTGGCCACCTGGTCAAGCCATTCTGGTGAGGTTCGAGATGCAGCGCCAGGTTTATTTTCACCTTGTGGTGTGTGACAGTTCAAAATGGTTCAAAATAGATTGGTGCCAACCTCACTCAGAAGGCTGGTGTGGTTAAATAGTGGCCAATTTTTTGGAATAAGCTCCTTTAAAGAACTGTCCACACCACAAAATGTAGAAAGCTCACAGAGTTGTGGGGACAGAAAATTGCACATGGGCAAAATTTAAAGGGATGGGAAGTATCACAACTGGGTGACAAGAAATCTGAAAAGCTCTTGGAAACAGATGAAAGGTATGTCGATCCATTCCCAAGCTGCAGGAGCAGGAACAACAATGGGAAAGGAACCCCTCAGGTTTGTACATCCCTGATTTCCATCATTCCACCATTTGAGGCTGTGCCTTCAACTGTCTGGGATAAAAACTCTGGAATGCCTTCCTTAAATCTCTCCACTTCTCTTTTTCATCCTTTAAGACACTCTTTAAAGCCTACCTCTTCTATCAGGCTCTTGGTCGCCTGTCCTAACATCTCAGTCACAGGCTGTACCGGCCCAGTGCTGCATGGTAGCTACAGCAGCAGATGGCACAGCTGACCCAGAAACTGTCAAGACAGCTCCCCACAACCATTGCCCGATCAACTATCATGAGATTCAAATATGGTGGGTGACAGCTTGGTAGGTTCCAAAGAGAAGTGTGTTCAACTTGGCATGGAGATGCCTGTATATGATCTCAGCAGGTGAGCACAGTTCGGTCTGAACTGGTGGGCATCCCTTCATTTGTTCTTTCTCACATCTCAGACAAGAGAATTCCCATTGGGAAACCTATTTGTGCCAGTATTGGTGTAGAACAATTGGCACAGAGACTTATGAGAACCCAAGTGGTGGCAAGAGAGAAAAAGAAAGAGCACTGGGCCAGTTACAGCCTAAACAAAAAACCTGTCTGAACATTACCACTGCTTTCAAACAAGCAAGGAAGGGACATCTGTCCCTTTTTCCTTTATTGTTGTAATCCATGAACCAGAGCACACAAATAAACTCAAAAACCAGCTTCATGAAGTATGGAATGTGGTCAGCAGTGACAGCACCACATCATTACTTCTTCAATTATGAATGTTCTAAACAAGTTTCAGTAAAGATAATAAATGTAGGCATGTCAAGAGGGCAGATTTTGTGTTCAATGTACTGCCTTACTGCCTGTATCAAAATATGCCTTTATAAAAATTATCCCTCTAACACCAAGAAAATTATTACATTTTTACATTTACTCAGCCATGCCTTTGTTAACTCTAGAGCTGACAATTCCAACATGCTCCTGGCTGGTCTCCTATATTCTAAGCTCCATAATCTTGAGGCCATCCAAAACTCTGCTGCCTGTGTTTTAACATACAGCAAGTCCCCTTTCACCTGTGTGCTTGTTGACTTACAACAGTTCCCAGTCAAGCAACATTTTGATATTAAAAATCTCACCCTTGCTTTCGAATCACTCCCTATCTCTGTGATCTCCTCCAGCCTCACAACCTTGTGAGATAGCTGCGCTCCTTCAATTCTGACCCCTTTAACAACCCTGATTTTAATCGCTCCACCATTGGTGGCTGCACCTTCAGCTGCCTGGGCCCTAAGCTCTGGAACATTCTGCCTATATCTCTTCACCTCTCAACCTCATTTTCTTTTTTCAAGAGACTTCTTAAAACCTACCTCTTTAACCAACCTTTTGGTCAGGTGACTTAATATTTCCTATGTGGTTTAGTGTCAAATTGTGTTTTATAATGTTTCTGTGAAGCACCTTGGGATGTTTAATTACAATAAAGGCAGTACAGAAATACAATTTGGTGTGAAGTGACGACAAGGAGATCTTTCCACCTAGAATTACTGTTCATTTTAATGGAGGCTGTGACTTTGGACTCGTCTGATCTGGAACTGACTTACCCTTGGTAAAACACACTACAATTATAAAGCATTCCAATATTATTCAATGCAATGACAGTGCCTTTTTATTTGACCTGCAGTGATAGCACCAGTTCCCCACAGCTGAGTTTAAAGGCTTTTCATAGGCTGGCAGCTTAGAATAAAAACTAGTTGCTCGCATAGTTTGGACTCTGAAGCAGCCTTTACAGATGTGCTTTGGTTCTGTGACATGAAGTAGTTCTCAGGCACTTACATATATTCAGCCTTATTGAGCTCAGCTGCTCCCGGACCTGCAGGGTTTTGGAAGATTAGACGATTGCAACAACGCCATTCTTTACATGGCATGATTTGTTTATACGCAATTCTTTCCCCTCCCCCGACCTCTAACCTCCTGCCAATCAGATTAGGACACGAAGCAAGTTCAGGAGCAGTAGAAGCAGAGATGGAAGTGGTGAAGGGGCATAGGAAGAGGGCAAAGTAGGTCAAAAAAAACAAATGGAAGACGGGTGGATTCACTCAGGTATATCTCTTTATTTGATGGCATTAATAGAAACGGAGGTATGCGGAGGACACACCAACTGAAATAATCCTGTAGATTTGTGACGCCACCAGGACCCGGAATTCCATGAGGTTTTTGTTCATTCTGCCCGGTTGCTTTGATGGGTGCTGAGCAATATTCCCTCTAAACTGCACGGCCGCATGGCATTCTCACAGCAGCAAGGAACAAATTACAGGGTATGTTAGGCTGGTGGGACTCCTATACCTGCCTTAAAAATGCCATTTATAGATATTTTCCAATCGACATGTTCAGAGATTTTATTACACACTTCTGGAGCAGGTAGGATTTGAACCCGGGTCTCTTGTTCAGAAGTAGGGGAGGTGATGACCTAGTGGTATTATTGCTGGACTGTTAATTCAGAGACCCAAGTAATGTTCTGGGAATCTGGATTCAAATCCTGCTATGGCAGATGGTGGAATTTAAATTCAATTAAAACATCTGAAAATATGGATCTAATAATGACCATGAATCCATTGTCAATTGTGGGGGTAAAGACCCATCTGGTTCACTAATGTCCTTTAGGGAAGGAAACTGCCATCCTTACATGGTCTGGACTACATGTGACTCCAGACACACAGCAATGTGGTTGACTCTTAACTGCCCTCTAGGCAATTAGGGATGGGCAATAAATGTTGGCTTAACCAGCGATGCCCACATCCTGTGAATGAATTAAAAAGAAACTACCAGTTCAGCACATGCTCCCATTAGTCCTAACAATTTATCTTTCACCAGGGGATTCTAGACTCAATATTGACTTCCACAAACTCTAGACCATAATCTCTGCTTCCATCATGTTCTAACCCACCTAGTCTGCACACTACAGGCAATTTAGCATGGCCAATCCACCTGACCTGCACACCTTTGGACTGTGGGAGGAAACTGGAGCACCTGGAGTAAACCTATGCAGACACAGGGAGAACATGCAAACTCCACACAGTCGCCCAAGGCTGGAATCGAACCGGCGTACCTGGCACTGTGAGGCAGCAGCGCTAGCCACTGAGCGACCCTGCTGCCCTAAGTGCCTGTTCTACTGTGTCAATTCTCTTAATTAGGGAAACTAGCTAATTAAGATTCTGGAGGTTGCCACTGACAATAACCTAACTGGGTGAGCCACATAAACACTGTCAGACACTAGGAATTCTCTGGTGAGTAACTCACCTCCTGTCTCCCTCAAGCCTGTCCATCATCTACAAGGCACAAGTCAGGAATTTGATGGAATACTCTCTGTTGGCCTGGATGGGTGCAGCTCCAACAACATTCAAGAGGCATGACACCATCCAGGATAGAGCAGCCCACTTGACCAGCACTCCATCCATCAGCACGTCACCTTAAACATGCACTCCCTCCACCAACAATGCACACTGACAGCAGTGTGTGTCTTCTACAAGATGTACTACAGCAACTTGCCAAGGCTCCTTCGACAGACCCTTCCTAACCCACAACCTCTGCCACTTTATGTGGCCCAGTGTCATACTTTGTTTTAAAATGTTCCAGTGAATGAGACATTGCAATACGTTAAAAGTGCTTTACAAATATAAAGCTTTGTTGTTGTTGAATCACGCTTAATGAAGAACATGATAAGCACAACATGAAGACAGCAATAAACAAACAAATTCTGAATCCCATTCCAATACCTTCCAAGCCATCCTCATGGTGAAGGTTGAAGTTCTCATAAGAATCCCATCTGACAGTGGGATCAGATGTGTTGTAATCTACAGTCACGGTAGAGTCATTCTTCAAATGGTCTCCATCTATAGATGGGAAGAGAAGGTATGAGGGATTCCATTCATATTTTCTTGTCAAGTCTCCCAGCTGACAGATCTATCGCCTGCAATAAGATCAACTGACCAACAGAGATCTGCTCATTAACTGAGATTCAATGAAGAGATCCAGCTATAAAATGGCATACGTACTCAGTTCTGACAAAAGGAGCACATTCAAAACAGAAAAGATTTACATTTGCACTTTCACAATCACCTGTTCTTTCTCTTTTGAGATGCTGATGGACATTCTGTGCAATTTCAAACATTTCTGTTTGCTTTTCAGATTGTCAGCATGCACAATTTATTTTACACAAATCTCTCTTTGATTTGATTTATTATTGTCACATGTATCTAGGTACAGTGAAAAGTTTTGTTTTGCGTGCAGTACAGGCAGATAATACCATACAAAGTGCATTAGGGTATCTTGTTTCCAAGTTTCCAGTGGTAATGAATTGCTTACCTTTTGTTTTTTCTGGACCTGAAGAGAAAACGAACTCCACTGCAGCGTCTCGTGGAAATCTGTCGTCTAAGAACAGAAAGGAACAAGAGTCATCACTGATAGTTCAGGTGCAAGAAAGTTGTTATTCAGTCACTGAAGATCTGAAGTTCAGAGTCCTCACTAAACATGAAGCAAACTTGGCAAACATTCCCTCTTGTTGTACAATGTGCTTTTCACCTAATCCTCAACCCTGTGGGCTGTGTATTCTGTGCTCAGTTAGACTACAGACACTTTGCTGGGATCCATTACATTAACATGGGTAAGTATTCGCACAGTTTTCCAACACTGTGAAGAGTTTAAGACATTTGGTGAGACAAATGAGAGACAGGCAATGAACAGAGCAAGAATATGAGATGCACACATTCTAATCATTGGAAGGTTTATTTTTACAGAACGTAAATTTCATTTTGTGGGTTTAAAAGCCCTTTGAGCTCTCCATTCTAAGATTGCAGTCATTTAAGGTGCTGCACCTGCCTTGTATTTCGGAATGGAATATAAATGCTTTCATTAGGTTCTTGTGGCTAGGAGACCTGGGTTCAAAACCTACTTGCTCCGGAGGTGTGTACTAACATTTCTAAACAGGTTGATTAGAAAATATAAATGCTTTCATTAAATGTCTGTTTTGTTTTATAGACTTGGTTTCTTTCTGTGACTCCAGCACAGAAGGGAAAGCTCTGCTGTTTTCAGTCTACTTCCTTCCTGAAGTGGCTGTGCTGAAGTGTTAACAGTACTGACTTGTGGAAATGGCCTTAATCCCAACCCACTTGTTGTGGTAAACTGCAATTGATGCCACAGAGCAAAACCCCACTTTACGCCTGGGTTTATAAAGCACTACATCACAGCCTTTAGCGCTTCTATGCGATAGATCACTTTGAAATGCAGAAGCAGTTACTTCATAGGCAAATGCAGTAGCCATTCTGCGCACAGCGATGGGTCAGTAAATAATATGTTTTTGGTGTTGTTTGAGGGAAGACTGTCGGCCAAGACACCTTGAGAATTCCTTTGTCTTCTTAGATTAAATGCAATGGGGTCTTAAGAGTTCCCCCAAACAGAACGGGCAGGCAAAACCTGGCTTTCATATCTCATCCTTGAAAAAGCACCTTAACCAATAGAGCATCCTCTCAGCAAACTCTCAATAACCACTTGCAATCCTAAAGCACATAATAACTTCTGTCTAGAAGTGTCCCAAAATGCTTCACGCACAATGAACTACTTTGAAGAGTAGTGTTCATTGCTATGCAGGTAAAGCAGCAGCCACTGTGCGCGCAGCAAGATCTCACAAATGCTGGTGAGTTAAAAGGAGTTTTTGGCAGCACTGTTTGAGGGAAAACTCTTTTTCAAATAGCGTACAGCTGACAAGGCAGGTGGGAACTTGGCTTTGGATTTAATATTGAAGATGAACTGGGTTAGGATGGCAACCTGCTATGTAGTCAAGTCCAGGAATGAGAGTTTGGAACCACAAACTGTTACCACTCAGCCAAACATATTTCGGATGACATTGCACCAAGGTAACATGTGTGAGCATTCACTTCCCCATGGTCAGCCACCAATCTAATCCAAGCTGAGACTTTGCACTTCCTCAGTACAAAACTGCTTCTGAAAATCCAGTCAGGGCTCCAGTCGGAACTTAACTGGCAAATCTCTGAACTGCGGAGTGGAAATCTGCTATTTTACCTGGATTCCTTCTCATTTCCTTCTCATTTCTTGGGGTTACCATCTACTCAACCCCATCCCATCCCATTCCCTGCCTCACCTCACCTGTGTCTCACCCTTGTGTGGATGGGCCTACTCCAAGAATCTTGCTCTTCTGAGGCCTGAATGCAACATTCAGCAGCACTCAGCTGGGACAAAATTCCCAGAGGTCTTTAGGCCCCAGGAACTCTTTACACAAGGTAACAAATGTTAGGGGGACTTAATTATCTTTGCTGTGCTTGGAACTGCACCCTGCCACCTGTTGGAACAGAAATGTGTTGATTAAACTTTCTGAGAAGAGCCCAGATAGTATCTGTGGCACAGCAATTCTGGAGTGGAGTCTTTCAGCTTTTGGTGACAGAACCTGACTATGCTAAAATAAACTATCTTCTGCAATTTGAACGCCAGAAAATCAAACAGGTCAACATATTAAAGGTTAGAAAGAACTCTCTGGGAATGTCTTACCAAAGAAGGTAAGATAAAAAGAGGAAAGGTTCTTAAAAATGGGCAGACCTTTCCTTCTGATTCAAGACCAATTTGATCCTTAGTTTGTGAGACATTAAACATAATGATGGGGCTGAACATGGAGCATTTCTAATTTTGCTCCACAAGACCAGGGCAGACAGGGATACCACTATTCCTGAAAAATCCCACTGACCTCCGTAAGCATCATCCAGTTCATCCTTTCCAAACCAGAGCTGGGTGCCATGGATAGCACAAGTATGGAACTGTACTCGGAAAACAACGTCACGCTCCGGGTTTTTGTATTGCTTATGGTAACATTTCACCTGAAAAGGGAAAGATGGAAGAACATGTCTAAGACTGAGCCACTGACTGGGTATTACCAATAGTTACAATTGTAAATATGGCTGGGGTCCCCTGGTGATGTAACACTGACCTCCGAATCTCAGAGGCCTGAGTTCACTTCTCGGAGTTCTGCATTCAAATCCCAGGGAGAGAATGCAACTCGATGGTCTGTGGTTGGTGACTGGCAACAAATCACAGGGTAAACTTTACAGAAGCGCTGCTACAGAAGTGCTGTTCCCCCGAGGCTCGCTTGATGGAAGTGTCGTTGGGACAAAGGTCAATGCACCTGACTTGCAGTGCGCTGATTTCTGGTGAGGGCCCTGAATCTAACTGTGTCATGCTCCCATTGCCATTCCACGGCCAGGGTAAAGCCACACCAAACTCGCCATGACGAGCTAAAGGAATGCAAGTTCTTCTGCGAACGCCTCTAATTCTTTTGAGTGGTCCTCAGTTGAAACATTCTGTGTCAGATACGAGAGCAAAGGTTTACAGAAACAAGGTAAAGAAATGTCTTTCCCAGGCCATAAAAAAACATGAGTTTTTCAGCCTTGTGTTGCCATGACTTGGTGGACCAAATGGCTTCCTAATGTGCAGGAATGATGCTGTGACTTTGCCTGTGGTACAAAAGGGATTCCAGAAATCCTCTGATTTCTGTCTCTCTGACATCCTGAGCTCATTGCACTAGATCGACTGCCCACGTGCAGTCAATTGGTGGAAAATGTGAGTATGCAAGAATGACATGTAAGAGAAGACCAAACTGTCCACCAAGCACTCTGCAGTGCTCAATTCCTCCATCATTCTTGACAGACTAGTATTGTTTCTGTCTACTGATCAAGAAGGAACTCTGTAGTTTGCCCTGTTTTACTAGGTTAACTGAGACTGGGGGTTGAATGCTTGAGCCCCAGCTTCTTTTTTATTCATCTGTGGGACATGGGCATCACTGGCTTGGCCAGCATTTGTTGCCCCATCCCTAGTTGCCCTTGAGAAGGGGGTAGTGAGCTGCCTTTTGAACTGCTGCAATCCACCTGCTGGGTGGATGGGAACTGAGGGCGCAGGGCCCAGAAATTTTGGCATGCCAGTTTCAACTTTTATGGAGGTAGGTTTGTGGCTGCAAGGGCTACTGGCCTCCATGGACAGGGAACGAATTAGGCCTGTTAAAGGCCTTGTTAAGGTCAATTAAAGGAAGCTGGCTGGAATTTACCCGTTGAACCCCAGTTTCCCACACTAGTGGGAGCCAGCACTCCTGCCAGGCTTATGGGCCCCACCTTGCCTGCCTGGGTGCTGGAGCAGCCACAGGCCACTTTGTAGAGGGGCATATCTCCCATCATTGTGGTAGCCTGGCTGCTGAAAGTACTTTTTATTTCAAGATTTTAAAAAGTAGGAGAAGGGGATACCTCCACGTGGAAACACCCTCTCCCTGACTAATCTTCCACTGTTTGTCTCAAGCTGGAAGACCTCCGATTGCCCTCTCCAGCTTCAAGATCCCACCCAGTGTCCTTATTTGGTCCTCCAGGGCAATTCAGTGGGCACCCCCATAAAAGTCCCAATGAGGACCTTTCCACCCCAACCTCTGAGGGTAGGTTTGAGATTTGTAAATAGCTCCAACTCCTGTTTTCCACCCCCTGCCCAAGTGGAAAATCCAGTCTTGTCTTTTCAAAGTTAGGATGGAGAGGGTTGGGTTCCTTGGAGAGTGTATATATTTACAGAGGGTCTTCCATTCAGAGAAGTTTGAGAACCGTAATTACAGAGAGTAAGATACTGGAGTAAGGTAGCAAGAGAATCAGATCAAACAGAATGTGAGTTTTTCCTTTGTTTCATCTGTCCAACCGGCACAAACAACATTCAAAGCTTTGCTCAGAAAAACACAAAAGATAGGAGTGGGGGTAGTTGATATGGCCCATTGAGTCAGTTCCACTATTCAGGAAATCATGGCTGATCTTGAGCTTGGCTCAAATTTTTTTCTTTAACTATAATTTCCTTGATAACCCAGGTTTGAGGAACACTTGTGTGGACAGGTCCCTCAACAGACTAATTAGGTGGGATAAAGTTTAATGGGCTGGCCTTGGCAAACTATGTTGCTGAAGACTCTCCTCCATTTGAGTAGGCCAATGGCACATGAAAAACTCACTTGAACAGCTCAAACCGCTGACTGGGAAACATCACATCCAGTGGTGCAGCAGCAAGTCTTTAAGTGCTGCAGCTCATTATCATCAGGAGAGATGGACTGAGCAGAAGAATGTGGGCCCCTGGCACAACAGAGACATGGAGGGCAACACTGTTCCCAAACCAGTGCAATCCGCCAGGGTTCCTTTTCATCTGCAAGTGAGGAGGAAGTGAAGGAACAGCACTCTTGAGATTTTCACAGAGTTCTCTTGAGGTCCATCAAACATGATAAAAAGTAAATTGGGAACAATTGTACCATCTGAGAGGTAAAGCAGCAGAGGACCGGTACACATCCCACAATCTCCTCAGCCATTCTGATGTTTTTCCAAGGAGAGTAATCCCGGTTCTCCTAAGGTCCACCAACCTAATGTTACTTCCTCTACCTAAATTTCAGTTGGGAATATGTCATATAATAAAGGACTCATGGTAGTTTCCTAGATAATAGTGCATAATAGTGTTTCTGTATTCAACTAGAAAAACAGACTTGCATTGCTCTTGCACCTTTCATGGCCTCAGGGCATACCGAAGTGTTTTACAGCCAACGAAGTACTCTTTGAAGTGTAGTCACTGTTGTAATGAAGGAACCACGACAGCCTCTTTGCAAGCTCCACAGCAAACTCCAAACAGCAACGTGACAATAACCTGATAATCTATTTCAGTGATGTTGATTGAAGGATAAATGTTTGCTGGAAAACCAAAGAGAATTCCCTGGTTCTTCTTTGAATAGCATCATGGGATCTTTTACATCCACCTGAGAAGGCAGGTACATCCTTGGTTTAAGGTCTCATCTGAAACAGTGCAGCAGAATCTCAGTACTCAGCAGCACTCACTCAGTATCGTCCTTCCGGGAGTGCAGCACTCCTTCAGTATTGCCCCTCCAACCGTGCAGTGCTGCCTCAGTACTGACCTTTTGACACAGCCGCAGTCCTCGCAACTGATCCATTAATAATGCAGCAATCTCTCAGTACTGATCCTCTGACATTGCGTTAATCTTTCAGTTCTGATTTTCTAATAGTGCAGCACCCCCTCGCTACTGTTCATCTGAGAGAGCACTACTCTCTCTGTATTGATCCTCTAACAGTGACGTTAGTACTGTCCCTCCAACAGTGTGGCTCTGTCTCAATACGATTCTCCAACAGTGCCTAGATCAGGCTTCAACCAAAGAGTACAACTCAATGACAACCTCTAAGAACAGGGATAATAAAGAGCAGACCTTCTCCAATGTGCCAGGTGGATATGGAGCAGTCAATGAATGCCAGCATCAGGTAGTGTATCGCTTAAAGAATACCCATTCTCCACTCCAACATTGGATGTGGAGATTTAAGTAGCAGCAAAAAGGTTAAAAACACAGGCATCAACAGAAAAGAGAAGAGTCTGTTCGGCAAACCCAACTAATGCATTGAACTAAGTGCGATTGCAATGGTTTAAAAAAAAATCCTCATAACCTTTAAGTGGCAACTGAAATAATCATCCCCGTTAAGAAGCTTACCTGAGTAGGCCAGGACTGTTCCCCATGCGTAGACAAAGTTTTGGATTAAGTCACAACATTTGATTTGGTACATTTGAAAGAGGCAATGACGCTGGAGCACACCTGGTGTCCAACCTTATTTCCTGCCCCCCAGAAGAAAAAGGTGGAAAACCCTTTTTTGACCAGGAGCTTGCAGAGCCTTGTCAATCAACATACTTTGTTGGGTGAGGCTCTGCTGGGAAAAAAAAACTGCAGGAGGTCTTGAGAAAACAAAGTGGTCATTCCATGCTTTGACCAGAAACTTGGGGGTGGGTCTGGAGCAATTAAAATTGACCATCAGCCCTGTGAAACGTGGGGTGGGACTCCGGGGGGAGGAGCCAGTTCTTGGAATATGTGGCCATTCTTCTGGGCAGAGAGATTTGAGTTTGGGAGGCAGGCAGGGAGAAGGGGATCACCAATTTTCTAGGCACAATGCCACAAAACAGTGCAGCAAGTGCATATAAACCAGACCATAGGAAACAAGGTTTAAGGTTTAGGTAGCCTTTTGCAAGCATGAATTCACTGAGCTTCAGTGCTGTTATTTATAGTAGCCTAATGAGCAGTGCTTAAAGGGGCCTGATAGAAAGTCAGCTAAGTCCTTGTTTTGCATCAATTCCAGGTGACCTCTTTCTTCTGCCAGTATTTACCTATTGACGACAACTCCTCCAGTCTCATTTGCGCCTATTGCTTGCCAGCTTTATGCAGTTGAGGCCTGAGGCCTAATTAGCAGCGCACCTCAGGCTAAAGTCTTGGTCACGCATGCCAGACATGTTTCACAGTGGTTCCCGGCATATATTAAATCTGTCTTGTATTATAATGACTGAAAGAATCTCTACAACATTGATTAAAAGAAGCAATATAACAATGATAAGCATTTAGAACACCAATTTAAAGATTGTGTCATCATATGTGGTCTACATTAAAGGAGTTTACAGCTTAATACTGCACCCTCGCAGCTGACCACTTCTTCGACCAGTCCTTGATCCTGCACTCACCATGATGTCTCCCTTCAGCAGTAAGGCTGGCTCGATGGAGATGCACAGCTTCTTACACCCAGGGCCTTGGACACTGCTGCAGAACAAAGAGAATGAGGAAGCAAGGATTTGTTCAGCTCACAGAAAAGATTAAATGGGCGCATGACTGACAAACCTACACGTGGGCATCTTGGCACCGGTATTGCCTGACAGAATGCCAACCAAGTCTTGCAACTGATATGATCTTTTGTGTTTCAACTTAAAAATCAAAAGCAGCTTGCTGGAATTATTGCCGTGTACAATCTGGATATGGGGGGCTGCTGTGGTAGATATGATATATTTGACATATAAACCAAGGAAAACATCTGTGCAAGTGTCTTTTTTATGAGGTTGCTAGATTGTCTTCTCATTATTCAGCGAAACATATTTCTGGGCATTTCCTGTCTGCAGAGCAAATAAACAAACAACAGTATGCCACTTACTAGATTCCTGATGTGTAGACAAGTTGCATTGACTGATAAATCTTCAGAAATGGGTGGTATCCTGTAATTAAGCAGAAATTCATTCATTTCCATCCTTCAGTGGTCAAACTGAGTCAACATTTCGACTTCAAAGATAAGCAGAACAATCAACAGATAGGAAAGAATTTGGGGTAATTCCAGAAGCTACTGCCCAAGGCACACAGGGAGAGGATATGAGGAACCCTGCTCACCCTGCCTTGATTCACATTAGCCTGAGGTTGTCAGCAGTCAGATTTATTAATGGATGTTTCCCCAGGTAGGAGTGACTACACAGATCTTCCTCAAGATAAAATTCAGACAAGCCCATTGCTGACCTTAAGAGTTAATATGGAACACTGGAAGCTCTTCCCTATTTACATGACATGGAGGTGCCGGTGTTAGATTGGGGTGGACAAGGTCAGAAATCACACAACACCAGGTTACAGTCCAGGCTCCAAAAGCTCGTGTTTTCAAATAAATCTGTTGGACTATAACCTGGGGTCATGTGATTTCTGACCTTCCCTATTTACAGAACAAAACATCTACAACACAGAAATGAGCCATTTGGCCCAACCAGTCTGCGCTGGTGCAGTGCTCCACACAAGCCTCCTAATATCACATCATTACTGTATCCTTCAATTCATTTCTCCTTCATGTGTTCATCAAGCTTCCCCTTAAATGTATCTTTGTTATTCACCTCAACCATTCCCTATAGGAGTTAGTTCCACATAGTCATCGTTCTGTGGCTGAAGAGGATTCTCCTGAATTCCCTGTTGGATTTATTTAGTGACTATTTTATATTGATGTTGATCTGGTCTGGTCTCATGCACAACTGGAAATATCTTCTCTATGTCCACCCTTTCAAACTCTTTCACAATCTTAAAGGTCTCTGTTAGGTTACTGCTCAGTCTTCTCCTGTCTAGACAAAAAAAAAATCCCTAGCTCAGTTCATCTGCTGCTGCTGAAACTCTTATCCATGCCTTTGGTACCTCTAAACATGACTATTCAACGCACCTCTGGACTGCCTCTCATACTCCATCCTCAATACACTGGCATCTACTTGACAAGCTGCCAGGTATGCGCTATATACCCAAAGCAGGACAAATCCAACTCAGCCAATAGCCCATCGGTCTACTCTCGATCATCAGTAAAGTGATGGAAGGTGTCAGCAACAGTCCTATCAAGCTGCACTTGCTTAGCAATAACATGCTCACTGACCCACAGTTTGGATTCCACCAGGGCTGATCAACTTCTGACTCATTACAGTTTTAGTTCAAACATGGACAGAAGAGCTGAACCCCAGCGGTGAAGTAAGAGTGACTGCCCTTGACATCAAGGCCGATTGTGGCATCAAGGAGTTCTCCTTGAACGATGCATTCCAAGTGTTGTAGGTAGACCCACAGTGTTGTTAGGGAGGGAGTTCCAGCATTTTACCTCAGTGACCCTGAAGGAATGGTGATGCAGTTCCAAGTCAGGGTGGTGAATAACTTGGAGGGGAATTTGCAGGTGATGGTATTCCTATCCATCCGTTGTCCTTGACCTCTGAATGGTAGAGGTCACAGATTTGGAAGATGCTGTGAAAGGAAACTTGGTGAGTTGCTGAAGTGCCTCTTGTAGGTGGTACACAATGCTGCTACTGAGTGTCAGTGGTGGAGGGAGTGACTGTTTAAGGTGGCGAAAGTGGTGCCAATCAAGTGTGCTACTTCTTCCTAGATGATGTCAGGTTTCTTGAGGGTTTTTGGACCAGTGGAGAGTATTCCATCACACTCCTGACTTTTGTCTTGTAGATGGTGAACAGACTTCGAGGAGACAGGAGGTGAGTTATTCACTACAGAATTCCTAGCCTCTGACCTACTCTTGTAGCAGCAGTACAGTCCAGTTGAGTTTCTGCTCAATGGTAACCTGCAGAATGTTGACAATAGGGGACTCAGCAATGGTAACGGCACCAACATTGAGGGGAGAAAGTTAAGATTCTCATTTATTGGAGATGGTCATTACGTGGTACCCGTGTGGCGAGAATGTTACTTCCTTCCCTAAGTCTTTTCATTTTTCTATCCCCCTTTAAAACATTGCTTAAAATAGTCTCTTTAATCAAGGTGTAGATCATCTGTCCCTAACGTCTCCTTTCTTGGCTCAGTATCAAGCTTTGTTTGATAATGGTCCCAATGAGAACCCTTGGTACATATGACTACATTAATGGTGCTATATATATGCAAGTTGTTGCTGTTGGCTGAGATGGGCTCCTGCAACTTTCTGGAGGTCAGAGCGAAGAACATCAGTCAGACTTCCTTTTTTTTGAGACAAGCCAACCACATTGGCCTGTGCTACAAGTTTGGGCTTAACAATTAAGCCTCACCCCACCCTGTACAATAGTCAAAAAGCACAATGATACTCATTGCAAGGTTAACATATGGCAATCAGTCAGTTGTAGGAGGAACCAGTGGAGTCAGTGTCTTTAGCAGAGAGCTAATGGAGGAGGATGTGAAGAGGAGGGGCTTAGGATGAAGTTGTGCAAATAAGCAGGTTAAATATGAATGAACACAGTTAGAACAAATTGTTCAGGATAGAGTCTGGGAAAATGGAAAATCCTTATCGCGTGCTGTTTTTGGACAAGGAGAACTTTAACTATGGGCTATGTAACTAAGGGGTTAACTGCATCAAGAGCAAAATGCGATAGAAACATTTAACGCACAAAGTCCACCTGTTGTCCAACAGATGGTGTGATCACTGCTTGAGTAAATGTTAGCACAGGAACAAAGCCAAAATAAAAACCATTTGAAACTTTGTTTTATAAGGAGTGTTGGCATAGAAGCAATGGGCCAAATGGCTTCCTGCTTTGTTGTAATTACTCTCTGAGGATTGAAAGGAGTAGGTGCAGGATGTTCCTCAGTGCAATAGTTCACATACGCTCCCATTATCAAGGCCATATGACTGACAATCCTGTTTTCAGTCTTACTTAAATCTAACCCAACAAGTTGCTTTACAATTTGTGGGCATTTTTCAGCCCTTTAAGAGGAAATTTTAGAAGCTTAGGAGACAGGAAAACATGAAGCGACAGAAGCTTTGTGGGTCAGCTGTGTTTACTTGGTGACGGCTATCCTTCGAATTCCTTATAGAGTCAAACAGAAATCTCTCATGATTGAAACTGACAACTATGGACGGAACCTTATAGGTATCTGAGCAACACAGCCTATAGCGAGATTAGTGGCAGAATCGGATAATATGTCCAGTGAGACCTGTCTCAATGTCAGGAGCATCTAGCTGCACCATTTATGCTTTCGATGAATGGCGAGGTGAGTTTCTTGCTTGGGACTGCAGGTTGCTAATGAAGGAAGTTATAGATTGTTAAACACCTTGTTAATGGCACAACTCACCTCATTAATATTGAGTTTCCTGTCTTACAAAATCTGCCAAACGAGCTAGATGTCAAGAAATCTTGACATGGAAGTCAGAGTGGGTACCTGATGACTTCAGCTTACTGCTAGCTATGAGCCTTCATGTTGCCCAGCACTAAACAGCATCTCAGGGTATGATCCATGGGCACCAACTGCGCACACCCCTCATCCAGGGACATAGCATCTGATATTTGCTCCCCTCTCACGACTGTCATGCCACCTCACTGATACGCTTGCAGGATGCTTATGAAGCACAGGCATTTGCAGAGTGCACCAGCAACTAGTACTGAAATGCTACAGCAAGTACACTTTGCACACAAGGATAGGCACCCAGCTCACGGACTGGACAAGGTTGCACCTTACAGCTGGTCACTTGCTTTTGCTAGTGCTCACTCGCTTAACACCCACCTGCAAGCTTGCAGCATCCATGCCATGCCTTGCCAATTAGCACAGCCACATAGCCAGGCAGCTTGCCTTGCTATCAGCAGTGCTCAGTCAAGGGCGGGAACATCTTGCTGTGCAGCAGTGTGTTGCATCGATCACAAACTTGCACCATGTGCCAACAACCTGTGTGGCAAACTCACTCTATGTGAGCATTTCTCAACTCTTAGGGCAGCAGTCCACACTGAAGTCCATGG